TCACTTGATGTGTTACTTGTGCCTTGCTGCCGAACACAGCACTTTGGTTGCTGGTCCTCTGATCGCCTGTCATGACCAGGGACGGGAAAGAGCTAAGAGTATTTGTAAAGGCTCTGAACGGCTTACGTAGAGAAATAAGAACAGATGCACAGCGTGAAAGAAAGTGTAAAGTTCACGAGTGACACATATGATGAGGTCAAAGGAATGGCAGCTGAACTGAAGGAGGTGAAGCAACTTGCCGAGTCAAACCATAGCCTACGAGTTGAGAACAAAGCACTGTCGCTTAAGATTGAAGAACTGGAACAATTCCAAAAGGCTAATAACCTTGAGGTAAAAGGGCTGCCCCTCGCAGGTGACCCTTGCGAGGTTATAAAAAAAAACTGAAGTTTTGGGGGAGCCTATTCTGGACATAGACATCGATGTCTGTCACAGAGTACCCACTGCTAAAGACAATGAAAAAAACGCTATTGTGCACGTTATTCGACAAACATTGCGAAACACAGTTTTGGCAAAGACAAAGAAGATGCTTGATACCTCAGTGTTGGGTCGCACGAAGGAAAGACATCCAGTGTACATGAACGAGCACCTGACACGACTGAAAAAGCAGCTCCTGGGCGCAGCGATTGCACACAAACACGTTTCTGTCTGGAAATAATGTATGGTCCACTGGAGGAAACATTTACACCCGGAAAAACGACATCACTAATACAGTAAAGATTAACTGCCAAGACGACAAGGAAGAAATGACCGCATAACACGCTCACTTAAAGGGAAGATGGGGCACTTCTGCATTTGAGAAAAAACACTTGAATTGCGTTCATTTGGCCTTTAGAATAACAGATATCACAATTATGTTTCCATGCGATGTGCCTGAGAGCCATGAGAGCAATTTCAAAATAGGGCTGAAGCCTTGCCTCCCTGGCCTTGGGCAGCCAAAAGATCTGTCGATGACGTCACATACAGCGACTGTCTTTCGCGTTCAACAATACTTCCGCAGCAAATGGTTTGAGTATTCGGGTTCACGGGGTAAAATATACTAGAATTCACTTCTAAATTGCTTTTTTCAAAAACCTCCGTGGCTTCTCTTTAAGCGTGGGCTGCTGTGAAATGGCTGCAAGCCCATACAATTGGAGCCAATGCTGCGACATACCTGCTTTTCAACTCACTTCACAAAAACACAAGTCCTGTTTTTCTTCCCTCCACATGAACATGTGCAGCATGAGGACTAAGCTAGATTCACTTGAGCTATTCCTCACTTCTTGAAGACATATTTTCGATGCCCTCATTTTCACAGAAACTTGGCTCAATAGTAACTACCAGTTACCGCCATTGTTGGGCTACAAAGGAACGGGCATGGTTAGGGCCACTAAAAGGAGCGGGTGGAACAGTGATTTACGTAAAGAGTACTAAATCAGTGTTATAGACGAATTATGAGTAATCAATACAGAAGTTGGATGCATGGTGATTAATGCAGGAAAGACAATTATTGCTGTTGTGTACAGACCGCCTACCGGAAACGTGACATCTTTTCTTGGCCTTTTCAGAAATAGGTTGGCTTACCTGGGTGCTCTGCTTCTGCCTTTTGTGATCTCGGGCAATGTAAACATAAGTAACATATCTGATAAATCCGCGGCAAGGTGGTTTGAAAATCTGCTGCTAGCTTATGGTTGCGTCAACGTGATAACAGTGCCGACTTGAGTAACTGTGACAAGTGTGACATCATTTGATGTTTGTGTTACAAATATACATGTCGCTGATGTGATGCCTGGCATTATATCCCACGATATTAGTGATCACATGCCTATTTTTTGCTTAACAACATGCTTACGGTGACCATAATAAAAGCAAACACGTGTTAAGAAAAATAAACAATGATTCGCTCTTAAACGTTCGTGACTTGGTCACATATGAACTGGAAGATGTAAATATGGCTTATAATATATTTCATTCTAAATTTCAGCTAGGCTATGACACAGCCCTTCCTCTGGTTACATCTCGTGTCCAAAACAAAAAGATCAGAAAACCATGCATTGATGCTACCCTATTTAAGGAAATAAAAAAAGAAAGATTGTATGTATCGACATTTTATTAAACACCACAATCTCAAAGTAATAGCTGAATACAAAAAAAAAAAAAAAAAGTTAATGCACATTTTAAAAAAAAGACGTAGGAAAGTTTTAAAATATTTATAACTATCCTAAGAAAGATTGGGAAGCGGTTAACAGTTTATCTGGAAGAGCTCGCAAGCATATTCCTGTGCAGGAAATCAAGGTAGGTGACGTAAGGTTCACTGGCCAAGAGCTTGTGGAAACAATGAATGTGCACTTCACAACTGTGGGTGTATGTGCCAAATTACCAAACATGACAGGCCAGTCCAGCACATTGCGCAACAAAATCTTTAACCTCTATTATGGTCTTTCCAACGACACTGAACGAAGTAGATGCAATGATCTCAAACCTAAAAGTTGCACTGCTGCTGGCTTTGATGATATAAAAGCTCTTCCTATTAAGTATGTATCATTAACATTAAGTCCAATTGTTTCCTATTTAATTAATCAGATGTTCCTAACTGGGATATTTCCTGACCAACTACAAGTTGCTAGAGTGACTCCAATTCACAAAGGCGGGAATGATGCCGTTTTTCAAAACTATAGGCCTATTTCAGTCTTACCAATTCTATCGAAACTATATGAGCGCGCGATCGTACACAGAGTTGAAAATTTCTTTAAGGATAATACAATAACTGCGGCATAGTTTGACTTTCAAAGGGAGAACTCTACCAACCAGGCTCTTTTTAAAATAAAAGATAAAATTAAGAAAATAGGTTATACGCACTAGGCGTATTTTCATACCCTAAAGAAAGCGTTTGATATGGTACAGCTCAATATTTTGTTAAAGCTTGATCACTGTGGTATACGCGGAATTGCTTTACGGTTACTAAAGACGTGTCGTCAAACAAGTTTTTGATCAAATATGGTGTCCCGCAGGGATCCATTAGGGGTTCATTATTATTCTTGGTATATATTAATGATGTGGTCAATATTACGGGTTCACCAAACATTGTCATGTATGCAGATGACACAAACGTTTTCTTTACTGGAAAGATTAAACAACAACTCGAAGACATAATTAACAGATACTTGGTGAATTTGTTTCATTGGCTAATATCAAATAAACTGCAACTAAACGAGTCTAAAGCCAAATATCTAATATTTCGGCCTATCAATGAACGCGATAACAACGCCGTCATTATTAAATTTAGCAATGTAATTGTAGAACAAGTAACAGAACAAAAATTTCTTGGGGTTTGGTTTAATGAAGAAATAACGTGGAATACACATGGTCAGGCATATCAAGAGACAGCTATCAAGGTCTCCTGGATGTATGTACAGAATAACAAATTTAATCCCGCTCTGGCTGAAAAAGTGCCTTTATTACTCGCTGTTCTATTCTTATCTTTCATATGACATTTTAGTATGGTGTACTACGACCATTGGAAACTAGAATCGGCTTTCAGTACTACAAAATAGAGTTCTACGTAGGTATGCTAATTACTCTGGAAACCTGCAGGACTTAGACTGTGTTAAACATTACACCTTACATAACATGCTGAAAGTAGACCAGGTTTATTATTTTAAACTAACGCAATTCCTACACAAAAATAAACTCTATATTGAATTTAATGAAACTCGGGACGGTCATGCTCACTCCCTTTGGCACACCAAATGACAGATGCCTCGAATCAGGGCTAACTAGGGAAATCAGAAACTCGACTACCAGATAACCGGTCTTCGTAATGCTTTGGAGCAGAATGCAATTATTTGAGCAGCTTTGTACAATTCAAAACCGACGTCAAGCGTTTTCTGATGTGTACCGGTATTGCTTTTTGTGGGTAGTGGACTTTTCTGGTTTGCATGGAGTTTGCTTCTTTTCTATTGATGCTTTTTTTGTGTTGGTTTTATGCAACATGTGATTGCTTGCACTTGATTTTTTTTTTTTTTTCTTGGAAACATGTTGGTTGCGTTGGTGCCTTTGGCTGTGTGCGTGTTTGATTGAATTGTTCTGCAGTTATTGCGGGCACCTGGTTTTGATGCAATATTTCTGGGTTACATGTTCTATGGCAGCCGTTGTGTTTTTTGCTGCCTCTTTCGAGCAATGCTGTACAGCTGTAACGGGCGGAGAGGGCTTGTCAGGCAGAAGTGCCTTTTAACTCTTCCCCCTGGCCGGCCATGGCCTGTAAAATCAGTACAGAAAGAAAGAAAGAAATCCAGTTGTTTCATTTTTGCCATTGAAACCGAAACTAACTGATAAAGTACTGTACGTCGAAGAGGACAATCACCTCCGACAAAAGTAACTGTACCCAACAAAATACACCTTCCTTATCGCCATTAGCATGGCAGAAGCTAGACTGCTAAATCTACCGTTAAATACCGGGGAAGCGCCCATGCCACTTTCACTGAAAACTGGGTTAATCTAGGCATGGGCGCTTGTCCGGACAAATCGGGCGCTTGAACGAACAGGGCGCTTCGGCGCTATTTTACGGTATGCCACTAGATGCACATCGTTTTGAAAAGGGCCTACAGTTGCCTCAGGGTCGTGAGACGTCGGGTGACCCATTCTCGTTGTGACGAAATAATCGCGCTCAAGGAGAAAAGCACTCAACTTTCCTTTTATAGTCTCTTTGATGGAGCGGCTTCTAGAACCCAGTTCTCTAGCCGACCCATGTAACCTGCAGAGTTTGGGCCCAAAGCAAATTCTCGTTTTACCAGTGCAATTTGCAAAAGGCCATCTTTTTGTAAACAACCTTTTTTGTGTGCCTCGTATAATTGTTTAATGTTTTTTTTGTCCATTTGTCACCACTTCGATTATAATATCTGTGTATTCCTAAAGGTCATGTCTGTTTTCTCCCTTTTTTGCCAGAGGGAAACAATGAAGTTGAACATTGCTGTGAAAGTTTTGACGCGCCTGCATGCAAATGTAAACTTCCATCTCCTTCGCAGGACGTCCGGCTGCACTATGTCTCGGCCGGCGACAGGTCCAACCCTCTCATGCTTTTCCTTCACGGTTTTCCCGACTTCTGGTTCACGTGGAAGGAACAGATCCTGGACTTCAAGAAGGACTTCTGGTAGGAATTTGAAGCAACTTGACTGCAGTCACTCGCGCTCAAAGAGCAACTCCAGTCAAGCTGCTTTGAAGGTTACTTTAAAGGGGACTACTCTTGATCATCTCGCTCGGCCTCAAAGCCGTTGCGGCTTTGGGTGCGTCTTAAGAAATGCGGCACAAGTGACCTAGTGCTTCATTTGCCGAGTCGTCATGGTTCGTGCGAGGCTTCGGTTCTGAGGCATAATTTATTCGGTCAGCAACAAAGAAATGAATGCCGTTGGCACCCACGCATCACTTCATAGCTGTATTGGTGACCGTTCTAATTGCCTACCTTTTTAAAGGGGGACACTACCCTAGAGGGTCGACTTTTGTACCTTTGTTTGAATGTGAATGAAATTTACTGTATATACTGGCAGTTGTGAGGAAGGTTGCAGTGTAAAGTTTCATCTGTGTACAGGAATTGTAAAAGAAATTATGGTTGTTTTTTATCAGCAGCACACTGCTTCATTTAGGAAAACTATCATTAGAAAATAATGTAATATATAACGCTTTTCTTCACTAGATCTGCAGCAGAATGCCTGGAGAGGGCAACTGTGAAAACAAAATTTCCAAAAAGTAATTTATTTTATCCTAACATCACATTGAAAAATGAAATAAGTGTTTTGCCTTTTATGTCGTCGACAAAATCTTAACATCTTTAATTAAAGACATCCAGAAAGTCAGAAAACAGTTCCACAGTTGAATTGCTCATAAGGTTTCAATTGTGAAAAACAATGAGTGAGTCTTTTCTTTTGTCCCATTAACAAACAAGTTATCCTAAAGTGAAATTAATGGCAAAAAGTGAAATGGGAAAAAATGCATTCAAAGTGCTCCAATCCCTACCTTCTCTTTAGCACCGGCGGACCGAAAATAATAAAAAAAAATTAACTATACAGTGTAAACTATTAAACCTTCCTGGGAATACTCTCTAGATGTTTGTGGATGTAAGTATGGAACTTTTCAAAATCAACTTTTTTTTTTTCAGAGGTTTTGTTCTCTGGGTAGTGTCCCCCCTTAACAATATCACGCTAGTGAGAGTTAGTCATGCTCCGAAGAAAAAATAACAGCCGCTCCTGTTCATGAATGTGCTCCAGCTTAAAAACGTCGAAGATACAAAGCAATAGTAATATTGCCACAAATGAAAAGGCGAGGAAACAAGGAATAACTGAGGAAACTGAAGCGTTTAATGGGGGCAAACTTGTGCCCAAAACAAAAAGGAAACGGAAGATAACAACTGAGCGTCGCGGGCGTCGAAGTTGGCGGGCAGCAGAGTCGAACGCTAGGGCGAGACTGACTCCGCTTGCCTTGCAGAGTCCCTTATGTACCCTCGTTGGTTTCTGGATGATTCGGCATAGAACTTTCGGCACGTAGAACAATCGGAACACGATCAGGCGAGAATGTTCTTGAACTTACGAGAAGGCCAAGTTGAAAGAATAAATAAAAAGACAGTCCGTTGACTGGAATCGAACCTATACCTTTTGCGCGACAGTCAAGCGCGGTAACTACTCGGCCACGCACGTGCTTGCGCTCCAACGTGCGTGGCAATATCCCACGTAATTAGCACAAACATGCAATCGCTGTTCTCTCCTGTTCTCTCAGTGCTGCCCAAAAGCCGTCACCAAAACTAGCTCTGTGCCAATGTGTACTTACATGTAAGAGACTAACTTTAATTTGAAAGTATAATATTCAGTTGTCACCTACATGCGCAAAATGCAGAAAGGCATTGCTATTGCGCGCTCACTGTCCATGTCGCTAAGTGTGCCACTGAGAAAATTTCTTGCTTCTCCGGCTGTTTTGAACGCAGGGTGGTGGCTCCGGACATGAGGGGTTACGGTCTGTCATCGAAGCCAGCGCAGGTGGAAGACTACGGCATGTCGTATCTCATTGAAGACGTCAGGGGACTGATCACGGCACTCGGTGAGCCTTGGGAGTGCACTTGAAGTTGCACCATGTCTTGTGGAACCGCTTTATACGTACCACTTGTGGCGTGCGAGGTTTCACTATGCAGTGCACCTGAGGAATTGCACTGCACAATATGTTTGTGCCGAATGGATCCCTTTTGAATTTGCTATTGGCGACCATGTGCCTCGATTGTGCTCAAAAGTGCGGCTGGCCACCATGATCAAGCGAGGCACTGGCACTACGATCTATACCCTTGCAGCTGCGAGCACCAGCGCCGCTTGTCCAGATTCACTATCGTGAACCAGGAGTTAAGTTGACATTCCCTGTTTGCTCACTACAAATGGAGTGAATGACTACCATGGCACCCGCAACACAAACAACCGAAATCGGTGGCGCAGTTAATATTTGCAACTGAACGTTACGTGGAGACGTTTTGGTGCAGAACTGCAACTTTTTTCCGTGGATTCACTCTCGTGTCGGTGATTGAGTTGCTCGTTCGTTGGGAGGAACTCGCGAGGTGCCCCTGCATGTGCCCAGGCAGGAAGAAGGCGATTGTGGTGGGCCACGACTGGGGCGGCTTCGTTGCCTGGGTGTTCGCCTCCAAGTACGAGCACATGGTGGACCGACTGGTCACGCTGAACTCCGCCCACCCGCTGGCCATGAAGCACCAGCTCGAGAACAGCTTCGAGCAGATGGTCAAGTCCTGGTATGTGCAGTCTGACCACCTTTTCTTGTACAGAATGTGTCTGGAGCTAGAGTTTTCTACAAATATGTCCCGTAAAAGAAGTGTAATGCATATTTATTCATTTTAATTACTATCGGTCCTACAGAGAACCAAGATAGAAGTGGAAGTTACGCAACACGAGAAAACATGCACAAAATGCACAAATCAATCCAATCATTATAGTATGTTTTTGAAAACGGCATTTGACTACCTCCCATACCTCGGTGCACGCGTCGAGCTTCACTGCTTTGCACCAGGGAGCTAGAGCAGCGGCTGACCTGGGGGGGCTCCTGGCTTAGCGCAAATTAACGATATTCTTTCTGAATGTTTTCACTTTACACGAGTTTACTGGCACTAGTGGGACCCAAGTATACTCGCACGCAACGCCATTGACCAAGAAACCTGTTTTTTGCGGCGTAATTTCAAGGATAAAAGCGAGCCTGTTCTCTCAGTCACTCCTTTGCAAAACTTGGCGACGTGACGGCATAGTGTCCCAGTGACGATATTTGAATGCGAATAATAGACTGAACCCGAGCATTGCATAAGCACCCGATTTAGGCTCGAGGTAGCGACAAGCATTCGAGTAGTGTCCAATCGCGGCATTGATGACAATAGCTAAACCATAACGATGTCTAGCACTCGGCGCCAGTTTAATTAAAAAATAAACAAAGAAAAAACGAGGAGAGAACGAGAGAGGAAGACACGGGTGTACTATTTCAATAAATATGGTAGTCACGGCAGTTTTTGCGCAGCTGTCAATCGAAAGAGCAGCAATTACTCCGGTTCCTACGCTGCTAAAGAGTAGTGTCACCTTTAAAGGGACACTACAGGGTCCGATCGAGAAAAGTAAACCCTACTTTTCGGCCCGCGTAAAAAAGCTATGTATCGCAGAACGCTCAAACTCCGCCAGAATGTAACCCTAGCGGTCCAAGCAACAGGCCAAAGTTTCAGAGCATGAGCTTACCTGGATCAAAAGATAAAAGAAAAAAAAAACGAGAAACCTCTACGGGGACGCTCTGACCACGGAGAGACGCAGACTGAGGCCGTCTGCTTTGCGTTGCATCGCATAGGTGGCGCCACCACCCGCGGGTTGGCGGGTTATTACGGGCATCTGCCGGGCTTGGCGGCGAATTTGGAATTGTTCTTTATCATTTCTGAAGTTTCACTTACCCACTGCTTTCCACTGCAACGGAAATAAAGATTACACGCTCTAATTTGTGATACTTCGGTGCATTTGCTCAGGCATAACATCTTTTCATGCTAATTATTTTAGCAGATATCGTCTGCTTTGTTCTTCGCAAACCCGAACACCGGTTCTCCCGTTGATTACTTTCAATCTCTACCGTGTTTCGCTGCACTTTCCTGCCTGATGAGGCAATTAACCCAAAAACAACACACGGACGTTGTGGTTTGGTATTTAAAGTGCAGAAGCTTTAAGGATGCTCGCCGCCGATACCGTCGAGTGCACCGTTTTAGGCCGCCGTCAAAGAGAACCATCCGGAAGTGGGTCCAGCGTTTTGGCACACTGGGCAGCGTAACGAACAAGAAGCACGTCTTCGCCAGCACTCCAGAGAAAGAGCAGCTCACGTACGAGATCATGGGTGCTTTCGAAGCGGACCCGCACCTGTCCACGAAGAGAGCGGCGAGTTTGTTTGGAGTTTCAGATTACACTATGCGCCGGATTCTTCGCCGACACAACCTGCATGCCTACAAGGTTCACGTTCTCCACGAGCTGAAGCGTGAAGACTATGAAAGACAGCTCAATTTTGGCCGCGAAGAGATCCCAAGGATCGCGGCCAACCCCTCCCATCTGGACTTCCTTCTGTTCTCGTTAGGCCGTCTTTCACCTCGACGGAAAAGTCAATGCTCAGAGCTACGGGTACTGGAGCAGCGGCAACCCGCACTGGACAATGGAGAAGTCTCAGTACTCTCCCAAGGTAACTGTCTGGTGCAGGATCTGTAAGGAGGGTGTTGTTGGGCCTTTCTTTTTATAAGTCTGTGACGGGCAGAAGTTACCTGCGCATGTTGAAGGAGGAGTTTCTTCCTGAGCTCGAGGCCCTCCACATGCAACGACAAGTTTGCGTATTCATGCAAGATGGAGCGCCCCCACACTGGTGGACCTCCGTCAGGAAATGGTTAAGTGACACCTTTCCTGGACGCTGGATGGGAAGAGGCTCGCCCAGCATGCCATGGCCACAGCGATCCTCTGACCCCCACATACAATGCCCGAAAGGGCGCTTTGAGATAAATTAAATAAAAAAAAAAAAAATATTTGTGATTTTTTTGTATGGGGGTTTATCAAGTCACAGGTCTGCACCGGCCGAATCTCCACCCTCGATATCCTCAAGTAACGCATTGAGGCAGCGTTTCTGCTCATTACGGACGAAATGAGAGCTGCGGCGTTTGCCGAATACGAGGCGAGACTTGGATGTTGCAGCTGGGAGGTCACGTTGAGACAGAACCGTAGGACTACGGTGTTACCTTCCAGTGCCTGCCCCTGACGCACTCCACATACTTTCATCTGGAAGCAAGAATAGCTTCCGCCATGTGCGCGGTCTTTTCCCGTTTTTATTTCGTTTACTTCTGACATATGGCCCTTTTTAGGGCTGCCAATTACGGTTGTCAGGTGCTGAGCTACTGCTGCTCGGCGCTCTCCCGTGTCTCTCTCATCAGGTGTATCCGGACCATGCAAATGGTGGACCTGGATCTTTGACGGGGCAGCTTAATTGTCCAGCATTTAATCTAAATACCAGCAAACCAAAAGTACTGAATTTCTTTAATAATATTAATAATTATAAATTCGAACGTGTTCGAGACTCGACATAATGAATAAACCGGGTCACAAAGTCGCTGACTTGGCATTTTCTGCCTCTCCCTTTTTTAATTTTCTTTGCCAACAAAAAAGAAGAAAAAAAAGAAAAAAGAACCAAGTATGCAAACATAAAAAACGGTACAGAAGTTAAAAAAGGGAAATATATTGGCCCAGCTGAAGTTCATCTGCAATCGAAAGAAGGCTCCTCTGACGGCGGAGCCCAAATATTGTAACTTTAAAAAAATTAATTAGGTTATAAACGGTTTATTGGCAGTGAGCAGACTTGGCCACTAGAGGAAGCTACCACGTCCATACCGAACTTCACATAATCTGCAGCACCAAGTGTCGAAGGTGCTATCAAACGGAAAGAATAGGTGCACCGCGGCGTTCGGGTTTGCGAAGAGCAAAGCAGACAACATCTGCTAAAATAATTAGCATGAAGAAATGTTATGCCTGAGCAAATGCACCGAAGTATCACAAATTAGAGTGTGTAATCTTTATTTCCATTGCAGTGAAAAGCAGTGCGTAAGTGAAATTTCAGAAATGATAGAGAACAATTCCGAATTTGCCGCCAAGCCCGGCAGATGCCTGTGATAACCCGCCAAACCCTCAAAGCCCTAAAAACCCTCAAAAGCATCCTGATTCTGTGGATGCTTTTGAGACGGCTGCACTGCTTTCGTAGGAGCGGTGCAGCAGCCATGTCGGCACATCCGTAGAAGAGTCGGCCACACTTTCGGCACGCGACAGCCACAGCAAGGAGAGAGGATGGGGAAAAGCGCTCGGTCTAGCCAACAGCCCTTTTCACATCTGTCCGGCACAAAAATGGGGGCGCGTTTTTCGGTGCTACTACCAATTTCGCTTCGATTTTGGCTTCACGGGTAGATTTGCAGATCACGTTTCCCCGACCGCATATTATCACTCCATGGCGGAACAATTTGGGACTCGGATCGAGCAAGGTTAGGAATCTTGGATTCTGACGAAGATCGGCACGTCGGTCAAACAAATGCAGAAACAGTATAAAAAATGTTGCAACTGCCCATGAAAACGCTAGTTTGTTATATACTCTCGTTCACGTGGGTCCTTTCAAATGCACCCAAGTATGCGTTAAATAAGAAAACGAGTGTGTGGATTCCTCGAAAGGAGGCTTGTTGATGCATTCTTGTTGAAGAGTGGAGTGGCACATAATCAACAGAGTGAGTAAGACGAAACCAGTTGAAAGTGTTCATGCAACGCTCGGCAAAGGTGGCAATGCGTCCGCTGCACTGCGCATTTTGGTTTCGGGTCTGAATAATTTATTAGTGTGCAACCTTGCGTCTAGATGGCTCTGCGTGACAACACTGCTGCATCCAGGCTCTCTATGTAGCAATGTAGTCACGTTGCGCTATTCAGACACAAGGTTGTGCGCTAGCAAATTATTTAGACTCGAGAGTGTGCAGTGCAGTGAAGACGGATGGGTGCAGCGGTGGTGTCGACCGTCGCCGCTGCCGCAGTATTTCTGTTCTCTACGTGCGTCACTTGAGTGACAATTTACATAAAATTGATTACTGTTCACCTAGAAAATTCACAATACCGCTCATTTTTGCTTTGTGGGGCTGCACAATTTCTTTGTTTAACAGAAATATTTGTTAAACAGGAAGAAGTTGTAGTAGTCGGAGGAATACATTGAAGACATTGGAAATTGGACAGGCTGGAATCTACAACCTATGGGCTTATTTCTAAGAATATTAAAAATAGATACTAATGGACATGGTCCTCGCTGCTGGTAGCTTTCTCTCATTGCCAATACTCCACTAGGGATATTTAGCTGTGGTGGCCCTATTTTGTTCTTAGACAATTGAAGATAAGCTGGTGATGAGAACCTTATGTTGCTTGCTTTCAGACTTGCCTCAATCCTAACGATGAAAACGAGCAAAAAAAAGGCCAAGTCATTTGTTTAGTGTGACTACATGAAACTATACCCCATTTCACTTTAGAACCGACCGCAGCGGATGTTACGAGCCATCGCAGCCAATTCAAAACCGTCTGAGTGCTACGTGACCTTGGAGAGGGTGACGGGCACAGTGCATATCACGTGCTACGTTCACAGAGCTGGATTGGCCGATGTGGCTCTTAGCGCCTGCGGCGGTCGGACGTGAAGTGAGGCGGAGTAGAATGCACTTTTGCCCCTTAGGCGTGGATGAAAGGTGCGTCTTGCAGTAGCTCGCACTGCGCTGTCCTTGCAGGTACATGATTGCGTTCCAGCCGTCTGCCTGGCCAGAGAAGCTCATCCAGATGAGGGACTTTGCAATGCTGGACAGGATGCTCTCCATGCTTCCAGAGGAAGAAAGGGAGGCGCTCAAATACACCTTTTCACAGCCAGGTACACGGTTTCTCCCTTGAGGATTCTCGCCGGAAGTGTCAGCGAATACGCTAAAAGGTGCACGAAACGGGTCTCTTGCTTTGTCTTTTTGGGACCGGGTATCGCGTGCCTCATAGATCCTAAAGATCGGTAGATATTTTTTGTGAATGCCCCGTTTCTACGAGGCGATACGATTGATAGACTATCATCGGAGACGGGTAGTGAAAATAAGAGGCTGCGTGTAGAAGGCTAAAATTTTAGTCAAAGCTGTAATTGGGTGGCCGACTTTGCGTTAAAAAGTCTTTGACGTAGCTTTGTTACTGCAAAAAATGCAAACAAAGTCCTCGAAACAGTTGCTGATGCCAAGATCAATCGACAGTCAAGCCTTCTTTTAAGTTTGGCTCAAGTAAGAATCTTCCGAAGGAACTAAATACAAAGAAATCGGTCTGCGCCAATCACCCGTAAGCCGATTGCAGGAGTGCCGAATGCGTTGGCGGCATTGGTGAGCTTTGCTCTGAAGCAACTCCACCCTCCCCTCTCTGCTGTCTGCCATCGGCCAAAAGAAGTGTACACCGCACAAAATGATCAGTTCCCCTTAAGGCGAGACGCGGGTCTTAAAATGGTAAAAAATCGCGAAATTTGGGGTTTTTCAAAAATCACATGTTTGGATAGAATATAGTCTGAAGTACCTGCCTGCGAAGTTTCAATGTCCTATTCGACGTCTAAGTATAAAAAAAACGATAAATACGATGCCTCCGCGACGCTCAAATCGCGAATCCAACGCAAAAAAATAGTCAAACTGCGCGCCCGCGTCGCTTCACGACCGATCGTCGGATCGCGGCCATCTTGGTGTTGTTGGGGAGCTGGTTCTCTTCCCTACGTCCTCATCCCACTCACTATCGCGACAACCTTGGAGAGCGTCCGCATTCCGCGGGTTTTCACGACCGGAATAACGATTGCTCATTGGCCCGCGCGCGTACGTCACGGGTACGTCGTGCCGCGCGCGCCTGTCATAGGCCAAGACGCGCCCCTTTCCACTTTTGCTCCTTTCCTCCTCTTGGCGCGCGCGCCTCCAGCAGCGCAAGGGGAGCGTGGAGAAGCGTCGTCTGCTTCGTTTTGGCCCGTCGCTTTGTTCGTTTCGCGGCTGAGTGCACGTTGTTCCGAAATCGTTTACGTTCGCGCGTTCGCGTCGGACATCGTTGGTTTCTCGCTACGAAGTTGCGGGAGTTTTATTTCTAGCGATCAAGATGCCGGGGGACTCTCGATTGAAAGAGAGTACGCGGCGGACGTTCGGGAGGAAGACGCGACGTGCGTGGAACAAGCGGAAGACATCACCTGCAAGTGCGCCGCTACGATCTGCGCCACTGCCGAACGCATTGGATCTGCCGGGACCATCGGCTAGCCTTCCCGTTGACGATGCTGCGGCCTCAAGCTCTGGTCCGGATGGCTCAAGTTTTGCCGGCACCACTCGCGTCGACTCTACCTACTACTCTACGGCCGAGCAAGCGCAGCGCGCCGAGCGATCGGAGCAAAGCAAGCGCGTTTTATCGGAGAAGTCGGCGACCCAGCGGAAGTTCGATCTGCTTGAAGTCAACGGATCATGCCAAACAAGCGATGCCGGGACCCAGTTTGTCATCGTCGACATGAAAGTCCTCAACGACCTCTTCGCGCACGCGAGGTGTGGAAGCTGCGGTGTGGGATCTCTCACGCTCAGCAAGGCCGCGGACAAGGAGTACGGCTTGGCCGTCAAGCTTGTGCTCGTCTGCAGCACTTGCGACTTCCAGAAGAAGCAGTTCTCCTCTCCCAGGGTTGCTGGAACAGCAAAGATCACTCCCTTTGAAGTGAACATGAGGGCCATGAAGGGGATCCAATCCATTGGCAAAGGAGTGACAGCCTTGGCAGACTTCTGTGCCTCCATGAACATTTCTCATCGGGGCCTGCACCACAAGACGTACCAGGGACACCTGAAAACGCTTGTGCGGGCATGTGAGAATGCAGCAACCGACAGTGAAGCCGCCAGTGTTGCTGTCGTCAAGGGGCTCTACACAGGCTTTATGAACCCCATTGGCAACATCGATGTCATCTTCGACGGATCATGGATGACCCGAGGACGCAGCTCCCACATTGGTGTAGGCTGCATTGTGGAGTTGTACTCTGGCCTCGTCATCGACCATGTTGTGTACTCCAACTTCTGCCTTGGATGTGCCTTGGGACCGGAGCCCGAGGACGATGGCTACAGCGACTGGTACGCAACCCACGACTGCCAGAGGAACATTGACTGCAATGCTGGCCGTATGGAGGTGGAGGCTGCGCTCACAATGTTCCAGAGGTCTCTGACCAAGCATGGTCTCCGCTACACCACCGTCCTTTCGGATGGGGACAGCCGGACATTCCATGCCTTGTCTGAAGCGAAGGTTTACGGCTTCATCAAGATAGAGAAGAAGGACTGCGTGAACCACGTCCACAAGCGGATGGGAGCTGCCTTGCGCAACGTTGTTGAGAAGAAGAAGGCACAAGGCGAGTCACTTGGTGGGAGAGGAAAGCTGACACAGGAAAAGATCAAGAAGATCACTAACTATTACGGCTATGCTTTCAGGAGCAACAGCCATGACGTTCCAGGGATGAAGAGGGCGGTGGAAGCCACACTCCTGCACATGACCTCCACAGACGGCGCCCCAGACCACAGCAAGTGCCCCGAGGGAGCGGAGTCCTGGTGCAAGTACAACAGGGCCTTGGCAAACAGTGAGCCTCCGCCGCCGCACAAGAATCCTCTTCCGGATTGTGTTCGGGCTGCACTGGAGCCAGTGTTTGAAAGGCTCAGCAATGAAGACCTGTTGGCACGGTGTAGTGAGGGAAAGACGCAGAATGCCAGTGAGAGCCTGCATTCGGTGATCTGGACGCAGACTTCAAAGAATGCGAATGCCTCCCTGGACAGCGTGAAGAGGGCTGCGGCTGAAGCTGTTGCTGTCTACAACCAGGGAAGGAGAGCGACCAACGAGTCCATTGCTGCAGGCCTGGGCTACGCCACCGGTGACTGCCTTGTCCGCCGAAGCATCGAAAAGGACAGTCTCCGTTTACGTAAAGCAAACGCGGTGCACCAGAGCAGCAGTAGCGTGAAGGAAAGGTTCTCCAAGCGACACCAGGCAGGAGCATCACGAGATTACAGCCCAGGACAGCTGTAATGGCTTTTTCCAGTGCCATGTGGAACAAAGGCCCTTTTCAGGGCCAAACAAAATTACGTTTGGAGCTTGAAACTCTTGCTCGCCTCTCCCGTTGTCCAAAGTTGTCGGGTCGTCACTTTAGAAGCAATTTTTAGCCTATATCAGTAATTCTTCACCATTTTTGCAATCTTCTCAAAAACAAATTATTGCAATTTTTAAAATTATTTGTTCAGAATGCACTACACTACATCTTGATAACTATTATTGCATAAGGGTTTTCACATAATTTATTGTAGTCAGCGTCGAAACAGGAAAATGTGATTTTATCAACATTTCACTTGTTCTTTACTTCTTTCATATTTTTTTCCGAATGTTCCCATAAATGGATTACATCATCTTTTATGTCAAGTTGTTCATGAAGACTTACACTACACCTTGGTGGCAATTATTATTTATCATTGTTCACACAATTTTCTATGTTCAATGTCAAAACTTTAACTTTGATTTTCTCATCTTCATGTTTTTTGTCAACGTGCTTAGCCTTACGGGGGTTTTCATGAGGTTTTTATCGTAGCATTTTGAAACTTTTTATACCGTTTTATTCAGAAAGGACTGGACTGTGGAGTAAAGCTATTTTTTTGCAGTTTATAATGACAACGAAAATTTTATGATAAATAATGCGACCTCATTAGTGTCATAATTAGCATAATTAGTACATTTTTGTATTATAATGTAATTTTGTGAAAATATAAATAGCTTTATAATGCATGGCAGACCTTTAGCTATGCATCTACATCAATAAAAAAAAATATTTTTGTTCGAAATGGCCTTAACGACCCGTAAGAAATTAACCAAATTAGGCAACACTATTTTTTATAACTTGAAAACTAATTGAGATATTTTGAAACTGATTTCATATTTGAATTGAGGAAGAAGGAACACATATGCACAGTGATTTTCATTAGTATAGCTGCAAAAATAAAATAGTCCATTTTAGAACCAGTGTCTCGCCTTAATTTGTTCCAGATGTGGAGTCCCATAGCCTGTTGCTTGTACAGTCGCCGACCAATTATTCGGTCTTGGGGGGGGGGGGGGGGACCCCTAAATGATCCGAATAATCGGGCGGGGGGAGGGACACCCCTAAATGATTCGAATAATCAATCAGTCCGAAAATATGGTAGATGAAAAAACTTGCCTTTATTACGCCCTAGCAGGCTTCAAAAAGCAGTCAATAGTGGCTTGCTTCATGTTACGCCTGCTCGCGATGATGTCTGCTTGCATTTGCGCGAGCGTCGTGTTCTCGTCATACACATTCAACCGCAATGTTAATGCGTTCGTAATGTCTGCTGTCAATGGCTGCGGGCAATAGTTGTCATCGGAATCTCATTTTCCGCTTATGCGAGGAACAAGAAGGCGCAAATCCACGAGCACAAAATGGCGACTGGCGACGCGAAAGTGAAAGGAAACAAAGCAAAATGATAATGACGATGACATGCAGCTAAATGGAAAAAAAAGGGCTAGCATAGCGTCACCTAGCGGTAGGACTCAGGAGTACTCAAGTCGCGCTGCCAAACCAAGCCAATCCATTTGCAGTTAACATAGAATTCAAAATGGCTGCTTCTCGGTGGTGCTTCCCGCTGATCGCTCAGGACGATTTCGTCCGAATAATCAAACTTTCGGACTTCAAGCTGTCCAAAACATTGGTCGTGAATATACACTATTTCTATGGAGTAAGCCACGGTTCCTCCTTTAGGTCCAAATCATCGAACAAGTCCGAATTATCGGAGTCCGAAAAATCGGTCGGCGACTGCATAGAATAATGAGGCAAGCCCCTCCCACAAAGCTGTACGCTCGCCACAA